TTGCATCAACAGTATGCATTAAACGGCTATGAAATTTTATTGCTTTACATCAACAGATGAAACTTATTCAATCTGCATTAAACGATTGTAAGATAAATATCGTCTTGCATCAATAGATGAAACTTACTTACAATGCATCAAACGATTGAAAGTCACTTACTTATGTATAAAAAAACTATGTTTATATTTTTGATAAACAACTTATTTTTATCTAACGTGTGCAAAATGAGAAGGAGTTGGAATGAAGTTACCCATATGGATTTAGATTATCAGACATTCCTTGACAGGCAGTACTGATTTGATGGATTTGAATTGGGCGCCGCACATTGCACAATAACCTGCGCTAGAATGAAATAGGCATGTTTAGGCAATAGCTACCTGCCTGCAAGTTAATCACACACAGTACGTCAACTAGGCAGAGAGAAAAGGGTTTGGCGGTAATTAGGGTGGATTGTATGGACAACTTTTGAAGAGCTCACTTCCCAGGGTTGATAAAGTGCTTCTTGAAAAGCACACTCATTATGGACGATTTAACGGCTGAAAGAAGTTTGCTGATTTTGCTCTCCAATCTAATCCCACAACCACAACCCGCGCAGCCTATGTTTTGCCTATGCCTCTTCTACAACTCTAGCTACTCAGATGGAATTAATCTCCACTTTCCTTGTCTTCTTTAACGAGCTCAACTACCTTAGTATGGTAAGTAGTTATTAAATGAAGTGTAAATAACAAGACCTACCTTGTAACCTTCAATTTTGTAATCATGGGGCATAAACGAGCTCAACTACCTTAGTATTTGATCTGGAGTGCATTGGTTTTATGATAAAGTAAGTTTGAGTAAGTAGTTTATTCTTATTAGAAAGTTTGACATGTTATTTATATATTACGAGACTGAATTTAAACCACAAAACAAATAAATTATGTCTAAATGTGCAATTTTGATTAACTAACAAACGCTAAACTAAGCTCAACTACCTTAGTATTTGATCTGCAGTGCATTGGTTTTATTATAAAGAATGATTTGCTTATAATTTGCTCATAAAAGAAATGTCATTAACTCGTCTACTTCTTTTTTTAATCCGAAAGTTTGACATGTTATATATGTTACGAGACTGAATCAGAATCATTAACGAGATAAATTATGTTTATATGTGTAGTTCTGAATGATTCATCAAAAACTTAAATCTTTTACTCTATTTTTATAATAGTGATTATTTCTAATTTACTTCTTTTAGGAGCATTTATCCCAATTCAAATTCACATGACTAACAAACACCAAAATGCTTGTAAATCAAGGGAGAGCAACACCAACAACTCTCATAACTCAGCTACCCCAAAAGATTACACAACGCCAAGAGGAAGAACAAGTTCCAAGCTCCATAGGTAGCAACTAAAAACTGAAAGGAGAATAAAGGATGGCATTAATTTCAACCTAGCTATAGCTAAAGAGAAGGCTACACACATTTGATTGATAGACATAGGAGAGGAGTGGGCGATGCTGCAGAAATAAAATTATTGCGCCGCACTGCTTTGGCAAATGCCACCATGCCCTTGGCCTATCTCTTTTGACACTGCAAACCATAAATAAAACGCCATCTCTCGACATTATTATTTATCGAGCAGATGGTGTATGCATCTACAGCCTTTCACTGTGGTCTCGTCATTTGATTGTATATGGTGTAATGAGAAAAAGTTGCAACGGGGATCTCATTGTCTTGATTTTCTAATTAATAATGTTATGATACGTGAAAAAGTAATCACGTGTGTCATAATGTAGTGTTATTGGCTATCTATTTCGTGGAAGTGTTTATCGAGCAGTAATTCATGCCACCGCCCATGGCAATTGCTATCAGATATATATTGGCACATTGATGTTTTCTTGTGTGCATTCCCTGTAAATGCGCCGTGGCACATGTTATTGAAACGTGATTGATATTTCATCCTCTATTATAGTACTACAGCCGACCCAGTAACCAGCATTATTGTCCGGTGAAACCAACATGACCCTGCAAAAGGACCACCCAATTATAAACCTCAAAAATAATAATATGTATGAGTCATACACCATACATCGTTTTTGAGAAATTATTGTATTATACTGTAAAATGACAACGGTATATAATTTAAGATCTCTCATTTTTAGAATATAGTATCAATAAATATACACTACTGCACTCTAATTACTCCCCAATACACTACTACACATTCCTTTTTTCACTCCCCACTCTACCCAACAAACTCAGGCTGGAGCACGCGCTCGTTTTGCCTTTGGGCTGGCCTGGTTTCATGGGACCCAGCAGTTGTTGGGAAGCTTCAGCTTGCTAGAAGACGAATTTGGGGCTTGGACCCCCTCCTATCCTGGCACGGGCTCAATGCTGGAAGTGCTCTTATTACAAAAAGAGTGTAATACATATTTATAGTTACATAAGTTAGTGAGTTTAGGGTTCTAAACCATTGATCCCTTATGACGATTATCATCAGAAAGTTACATCATAATCATAGAAAGGATCTCTAGGTTTAATATGGGAAGTGGAATACGATGTAACAAAATGTGAAGCATGTATGCTATTTCCTAGTAACCAACCATTATCTTATGCATAATGCATGCAATAATGATATTAATGCTAGTCATTAAGTCTTAATTTATTGTGTAGCAGTAACTATTTGTTTCATGCAAGAAAGGTGGCTGCGTGCAGCAGTTGAACTCTATAACCACGGAAGTACTTTTTTGAGTTACCTCATATGGAATTGGAGCTTTCCTCCCTTCAAGCAAAGCTGGTCGGTAAAAATGGACTTTTTAGAGCACGATTCTAAAACCATGTTTGAATCGTTGATCGACAATGCCACATTAATTGAATGTTGCTGTTATCTAGTATTTTCTAAGTACTTTGATCAAAATTAAAAAAGTTATAGAAAGGATTAAAAGATGCAATGAATGGTTGATGAAGAGAATAACTCTACATTTTCTTTACATTTAAGGTTAAGAAGAGGAATTGGGAAAAAAAGAAAACTACAATATAAATTACAAGATGTTGATATTTGATATAAATGAAATGTGCACCCAACCCAAATCTCAATCCAAATAAATTGGATTGTCAATTTCTCATCCCATCGTATATAATTTGTAGTCGGTGCAAATCATAAAGAATGAGTTAACATTATCTAAGAACGCATTCTCATGTTTGATAAGTACAAACGTAATATGAGTTGGTATTTCCATTGTTAGTTTAACCTAAAAAAACCCATAAAATAAAGATTTGCAAAATCAAAAAATAAATTCCTTAAATCAAATATTTGGTTTTGATCTCGATAAATCATAACTAAATTTACATTTTTTAAAGTAAAAAATATATATTATACTTTCATATAATCTAAATTACAAAAAAAGGAGTTCAAACTCGCATGGGCGGAACCATACTAAAGGCTACAGTGGACTGTAGCCTAGTGTGATTTTTTAAGAAAAAAATTATAAAACCTATATATTTAACTTATTTTCAATATTAACCCAGTTAGTAGGGCTGTACATATTACCTTATTTCTATTTTCAACATTTAAGTAAATGTCTTTGTCATTTTACTTTTATTTATTTTTATATTATTCCATTTACTTAAGTTTACAATGTAAATAAGGAAGTACCCCACATTTGGATTTAAAAAAAAACTAGAAAATCAAATTCCCACAAAATCAAAATTTGAAAAATCGGTTTTAGTGCAAAATACGATTTAGGCTAAAAATGATGGCTCATTAAGTCAATATATACTTCATATTAAAATTCCATAAAATCAATTTTTCTTATTTGATGTGTGAGGAATAAAAGCCGCCAAAAATTATCTTGAGAAAATGATTATTCCGAAAACCCATTTTTCATACTTAGTCAACATTTTTACATAAAACAACTTTTCATGTATGATATAAATGCATGAAGGAACCTAAGGTCAATCTAGGTAAAAAGTCTTAGATATTTAATCCACTATGGTGTTAAACCCTATTTAGTTTATGTTAAAACTTATTGAAAATTAGTCTATTGAGTTATGAACTAGCTTGGTATATATGATTTAATATTTACTTTTAGTTCTAAAAAGACTAGAAATTGAAAGTACCAAAAAAAATAATCATTAAATTTTAAACTAATAACTTTAGCTAGCCCACCCGTTGAAAAATTCCTGGTTTTACTCTTGCAAACTCGGTACGTCCATATCTGTTTAAAACTACTTGTAAAAGTTAATAATATCTTCGTGACAATATCTTCATTCTCGGTGTTTCCCACTATGAATCCCACTTATGCTTAAAAAGTTAGGTTAGTAAAACCAAGCTCCTTCACTAAATACATCCTAAATTTGTTAATTAGCTATGATTTTTTCGCTTCACTGGCCTACCTCCTCCTCCTCCGCTAAATAAACCTCAAGTTGAGCCATGCCAAGAAGCCAAAAAGCGAAGAAACCAAAAAACCAATATTTTAGTGTTGTTGATCTTTGATTTGATGCAGAAGGGCTCTGCACGTGTAAATACGCACCAAGTTATGATTGCGTGCATTAAAAATGACACGGACAGAAAGAGAGAAAGAGAGAGGCGCTACGCCACCACACAAGGTAGTGTGCAAAAATGAGATTTTTTTTCTTTTTTCTCTGCAAATGGGTGCTTAATTACCAGCTAAGGCACGAAACCAGCAAGCCTCCTCCATGAATGTAAGACACGTGTCAACATCGGTGAGGAACGGTCTCTGAATGGCGCACAGACTTCCCACTGTGTCTTTTTTGCTTTGCCCTTTTGTCTTACTTCGTCTCTATCCGTTTGACAGAACAGAACCACAGTATTCCTTTCCTTCCTTCTCTCTATTTTTCATTTTTCAAACTTTTAATAAATATATTTTTTTAATTTTAAAAATGCAATTTTGCTTTTTGGGGGTCCTACCCTTTTAGTCATGTAGTCATATTTGTGTGGAGTCTATAGCTCTATATATAGCGGTTGGTCCTTCTTTACTTGGCACTCTGCTTCCTCCATATTTATGAGTCACTTTGGCCAAAGTCTAAGGCAAAAACATCCAACAAAATTGAAAATCTCAAAAGCCTTGGACATGGAAGAGAAAGTTGGGAGATCAAGATTCAAGAGGGTTTGTGTGTTTTGTGGCAGCAGTACTGGAAAGAGGAACTGCTACAAAGATGCTGCCATTGAATTAGCCCAAGAGCTGGTACTTCTTCATTGGTCCTCCAAAAGTCCAAAATTTTCAACTTTTAATTTATTGGTATGTTATTATTTTGTATTCTGAGCTTTTGGGTTATGTCAAGGTGTCAAGAAGGCTGGACCTTGTCTATGGAGGTGGTAGCATTGGGCTCATGGGTCTGGTTTCTCAGGCTGTTCATCGTGGTGGAGGGAATGTTCTTGGGTACAATCAGCCGTCTTTCACTTTTTCTTGGGTTTTGTCACATGTTTATAGTTCTTAATTTCTTTTTTCATATACACTTGACCAATTTTTTTTGTTTCTTCTTTGTATTTGGTTCACATTGGACAGGATCATACCTAGGACTCTAATGTGCAAAGAGGTACATAATCTGTCAATCTTTCAAATGGGTTTTCTCCTTCCTTTCTTGTTTTGTGGAAATCTCTTTTCTTTTTTGTAGTACTGGTTCAAAGTTAAGTCCTTTTTGCCTTCAAGTATGTATGGTGCCTCTCAAAACGTATGCATGTGTGGTATTGAGCCTCACAGATAACAGGTGAAACAGTGGGAGAGGTAAGGCCAGTAGCCGACATGCACCAAAGGAAGGCAGAAATGGCCCGCCATTCTGATTGTTTCATAGCCCTACCAGGTCCCCTCTCTCTCTACCGATAAAGTTGTAGCCTTTTACTCTTTTATTTGATTAAGTTAATCAATTGGGTTTTTTTTATTTATAAAATCTCCTGCTTTGGTTTCATCAGGTGGATATGGAACTTTGGAGGAGTTGCTAGAAGTGATCACTTGGGCACAGCTTGGCATCCATGACAAACCTGTAAGACCATATAAAAAAACCCACCAGCAAAACAGTGATGAGCAATCAAAGTCTTTGCCTTGAAGTTTGAAACTTTATTCTATGCCAACAATTTTTGCAGGTGGGTTTGCTCAATGTTGATGGCTACTACAACTACCTTCTCACTTTTATTGACAAAGCCGTGGATGATGGCTTTATCAAGCCTTCTCAGCGCCACATCATAGTCTCTGCCCCCAATGCCAAAGAGCTTGTTCAAAAACTTGAGGTTTGTGTGTTTTTGTTTGTGACTTGTATGAGCGTGACTTCAAATTATTTTCATTTCTGTCAAACACTTTGTGTGCAGATTTCCATGATTTTGAAGCTCAAAAATGGAAAAAATAGACTGTCGAGTGATTAGGAAAAGAATCTTGATCAAATTACCATTTTGGTGCTTCATTTCCTTTTGGATTTGTTGGGTTGTAAATGATGGCTCTTTTGTTTTTTTTGGGTTTTTTGGGGTTTTAGGAGTACGTGCCTGTGCATGATGGAGCCATAGCCAAAGCAAGATGGGAGGTTGAGCAACAGCAGCAGCAGCAACAGGTGGGGTTCAATGGAGCAGCTACTTTGCAGACTGAGATAGCTTTGTAAAGAGTAGACAAATGAAAAAAGGATGAAAGTTAGGGAAAAAAGGTGGTTTAGGCTCTTTGCTTTGCTTTTGCTGTCTGATTTTGGTCATAACAAGACCAGCCATACCATAATGGTATGACAAGGTTTGATTGAAAAGGAGATAAAAAGGAAAAACGAACACTGACTGGTCCAAAATCTTTTCTTTTGTATGTTTTAAATTAGTTTATAAAAAAGAAAGGGCCCATCTTTATCTTCAATTCTGCATTATCATCAAGCTTATATTTTGTGATCTCTCCGGATTTTATTTACACATGGAAAGAAAGAAAAATAAGCAAGGTCCAAGAAAAATAAGCCAGGTCCAAAAAATAGCGGCAGCAGGAGCTGCTTTATTCTCTCTATTTTCATTTGCTCACTAGGGCTTGCATGCCATTACTGGTGGTGTTATAATTTCCTTTTTTTTCTTTTCTCTTTTTCTTCTTTTTTCTCTGCAAGTTTTAAGGTACTGTGGTGGTGGTGAGGCTGTGACGATGATTTAAACATTTTGCATCATTTGGGGACCTTGAGTTATATGGGGCCCACATGGGTTTAGAGAGCAAGTGTGGGTCCCTTTTTGCCAACCTTGTGTTTGGTTTGGGTTGGGTTTTGATTTAGTGACCAGACTGTACGCTATACCTACAGCTTTTTTATTTGTTGTTTTTTACTTTTTCAATCTTTTGGTCATTCTATTTTATACTTGTTCAGATGTTGCCTTTTAGAGTCATCGTTTGGGAAAAGAAAAAGAAAAATCTTTTTAGAAGAACTTTCCCTTTGTTGTTGGTGTAAAACAATAGCTGGTAACATTGTAATCGAAATGAAAAAACGAGAGTAGGTTGAGTTGATAATGATTGTTTTCTTTGTTATTCGGTCTTAGATTCAAGTTTTGCTAACAACAATTCCTTTTTGTAAGTAATTTGTAAAAATATAAAAAGATTAAAATAGGCTTGATATACCCCGGCCTTGAGATTGGGTAACCTCTCCTCCCCTAACTTTTCTTCATAAAAAAAAAAAAAAAAAGTTTATTTATTAGTTCATCTTCTTTATCCGAATCATAAATATCTTTAAAATCAACTTTGGAGCATAAAGGATATTTTGTGACGTCCCATATACGTGGTGTGTGTGATACCTTTTAGATTTGTTGACTGCCTGATGCAATCAGCAAATCTCACAAGAGCTTTATTATTATTAAACATTTTTCATTCTATCTCACATGTCTTTTATCAATTTAATTCAATAAAATATCATACAATAAAAAAACAAAACCTTATACATTTGTCGTAATCACTCCCCGCTCATCAATAAGTGAAGCATAGTTTTCAATTATCAACTGCATTTTTTTAATTTCAGAAAAGTTGCGAATTCAGATAAAAAAATCCCAGCAAAGCGATCACCCTCAACACATATATATTCAGCTCCTCTTAATTTGGTTCTCATTTCTATATAGAAGCAAGCAGCTGCAATATATAATTCTGAAGCCGGAAGTTCTTTGTTCTTCAGATTCTTCAGTAGCAAAATCTAGTTTCATGTCTGTCAAGAAAAGCTTCATGTTATGCACCACGAGATGAGACCATGTCATATAAAACAGCCTCATCTACAAAACATAGATGAAAATGGTCGCACATCTAAATACGAAGATAAACTACTACACTATCCAACCATTTGGTTTCTGCAAAATTTTTAAATGCCTTCAAATATGGTAGGCAAGTCCAAACCATTGATGCCTTTGATTGATGTCGCAAACGTCCGGCACTTTTACTGGGAGAATGATATCTTTGGCATCTATGATCACCTTGATCTCCTCATTCTTTACTTCATCTCCTCATTCTTCCTTCAATTTATGAATGCCATCATCAAAGGAGGAAGCTCAAGTCAGAGATAATCTCAAGTCCTCGCAAATACCTTTGTCTATAGCAGTTGTGTCCCTTCATCATAGTTAAGGCAATCCAATCACCAATTCATCAACACGAAATCTTTCATCTAAATATGCAATAATACAACAGAACATGTTTTGCACCTTAATGCTAAGAAAAGAGAGAAAAAAAAACGAGTGGTGATTTCCCCACTCCTATTTCTTCTATTTTATCCACTTACACTCCTTTTTTAGTTAATGTAAAACCATTATGCGCTTACCTTCATATAGTCTCAAACATCAGGTGATGATGCTATTGCAGTACTTAAAACTGGATCCGATCGTTAAACAGCGTGTTCCTTACATTGGTGAAAGTAGAATGCCCTTTAAAAGTTATGTTTTTCCTATTTCCTTTCTTAACTTGCTCAACCATGGTATCTGTAAAATAAGTTCCTGTTTCCAAGTCCAATTTGAAGAAAACACTGGAGGCTTTGTCACAGCTTATAGGCAGAGGCACACTAGTTTTCATCCAAACTAAAATTTCACAATTTAAACACACAATCATCCTTAATTACAGCCATGATTCCAACAAAAAACTACCAAATCAAGATCCACATCAACACAGTAACTAGCAAACAGCTACTATCACAAAATAGCTCAATAAGAACTTACCATATGGAAAAAAAAACAATCTAAGAAATAAACAGTAATGAAAAATGAAAAATTATAGCTATTTGGCTGTTGATTGAGTGAATCTACAACAGTTTTCAAAAACTTATAGCTTTGGGTTAGAATTTTTTCAGGTCCTCAAAGTCTCCTTATATTGATGGCTCACATGTTAAAACCCAACTAACAATCTTATCTGTATACAGTATATAGTAATTTGTAGAAACATTTCTGAGTTCAAACAATCATCATCAACATCGACAGAAAACATTAATGGATGAGATGAACAACAAGACCACTATAGAAATGAGAATTCAGAGACAAAGAAAACTTTATTAACAGCACTACTATCCAAATATGAACCATTCTCAGAAAGTTCAAACAACAACAACATCAAGCCTCAAAAATTCAACTTGGAACCAATTAACGTCAAAAATCCCTAATATGACTTGTACCCAGATGAAAGTTTTTATCTTTTTGCTCTCCTGATGACAGAAATTAATATCAGACCCAAATTTTGTGCTAATGCAGAGGCCAACATTTTGTTGTCTCTTCTTTCCCAAATTTGTCTCAAAAAATAAACAAGAAAATTCTTGAAAAATTGGAGAAGAAAACGGCATGACTTACCGGCGGCGATAATCCAATTTTCCTTCACCGCCAATGGTGTCGAGTTGAGAGCCGAAGACTGGGTGATGGCAGGAGACGTTGGGACTATTGACTTGAGAATGTTGAAGGTGGGAGACTAACGCGAGATTATTTAAATTACGATACTACCCTCATACAATTTACTTCAAGGAAAAAAAAGCGCTAAATTACCAAAAAGGCCTGTGACAATATCAACGGCATTGACGGTAATCCCAAGTGTGGAAATAACGTGAAAGGATATTTTTTGAAACTATCAAGAATGTTTTCTTACCCAAAAAAAAAAGTACAAAGAATGTTTTGAAATTTTGGATTTTTTTACATTTTTGTAAAATTGAGTGTGTAGGTTTTATTGGAGAAAAACTTAGTTGCAAGAGTGATATCCTGATCAATATAATGCTATACTATGTGAAAGTGTTATCATGTATCATAATGTTATTGACCGAGAATAGCAAAATAGTGTTATCCTCATTCCATAGAAGTCTTTCTCGTTTTAGTTAGTGCTAATAGAATTGCTCAAACGAATCTTCACTTATTTATTTATCCTTGTGATTCTTTGCCAAAAACTTCACTTTTTGTGATTGTTCAAATGCATATGTAAAGCTTGAGCATGGTTTACCAAAACGAGTATGCTAAAGGGTTGAAGCTTGGGGGATGACGGGTTTAGTTAGTAAGTGGCTGTCCTTTCCTTTGCCATATGTTGCGTGCAGCTGCTCTGCTCTCACAGTCTGGTCCTCCTCCTGATGTCCCTTGCCAAAGGCAAATGATGATGCACAGAACAGAACAGAGTGATGCTCTTGCACAAGCTTTGTCTCAGCTCAAGGCAGTCTGGATGGAGGAGAGAGAGTATTGATCATCAACCCGCAAGAGCAGGGTGCATGGTGGCTTTTATTTGAAATCTGAATAGTGGTACTCACATGGGATTGGAAATGAATGCAGCCAACATTCATTAACTTTTATTTTCTGATTAAGCAAAATTGTTTGAAGCGAGACCAACGACAAAACTATTTGCACCACATTTAAGTGTTGATCGAGATTGATGAAGACATCTCTAATAAATATGGCATTATTTCCACAAATTTGTTGGCAGCTAGTTACGATTTGAGAATGCAATTGGCCTTTGTTCTCTCTTTTTTTGGGGGTTCAATTTTGATACATCACATGGGATTGGAAAATAGTCATCTGCTTTCCATTATTCCCTTCCATTAGAGCAGTTCCACCGGTTTGGATTGCCAGGAAAAAGGCCCCCTAAGGGCGCTTACGTTAGTGCTAACGCTAGCCTGACATCAATGAAGAAAAAAATTGAAAAAAATTCAGAAATTTTCATTTATAAATACCTAATAATTTATTTATTTATTAATCTCATACATATAAATAAAATTAATCTAATGTGAATAATAATTACTCTTTGGGTTTCCATGATAACAGATAGGAAAAAAAAACCATACTTTCATTAACAAAAGGGAAAGGAAGGAGACAGCCCAAAAGCTGCTATACAACCAAACAGACGGGGAAAAACAGACTAACAACCGAAACACCCCTGGGCAACACAACAACAAGGCCAACCAGACAGAACACACCAACAAAACACCTAAGTGCAACAACAAAAACAACAGTTAATCACAAGGTGTAGTGCGGTTGGCAAACTACCACATCTAGTTGGCGAGCTACATGGTGCCTCAATGACAGGGGTTCGAAATTCACTGGAAGCACTTTGTTATCTGGGGCAAGCCGAATCCCAAACGGAGATTAATCCCACCCTTCGAGTGTGGGGACATCTCGCGGTATTTACCTAAAAAACAACAAACACCAGCTATTGTTCATACCCTTGCCCTTTATCATGAAAAGCATGTGAAAAATGCTCTTAGTGATAAATAGAACGGGTCAATTAAACTAGAGTAGAGACACAAACTTACTACACCAGCTTTCAAATATCGAAAAGGTTTACGTGTTGATCAAGATTGATGAAGACATCTTTGATAAATGTGACATTATTTCCACAAATCGCTGGGAATAATACAATTTGTGAATTCGTTCTATCTCTTTGTTTGTTCAATGGTGATAGGTCACATGCAATCCCATGCTTTCAATTATTCCCTTTTACTAATAACAAATAGAATTAGACAATTTCTCATGTATACATGTGTGTAAACAAATAAGATCCAAAGTGGATTCAAAATAAAAACAAATGAATCACTGTCACATTAATTTGGTGTGCAAAAATTAATGTAATAAGTTGCTATCTCAAAACCCAAATGATGCTCTTCTCTCTACAATCATGATTGATGAATAGTCTAATAGTCTAAGGATCTTGGTGCCAAATACATAGCAATTGCTAGAAACAAAAAATCAATCTTTGATCAAGCCTTAGTGCTTTGGTTCTAATGGCATGGGACTTGACTTTCATATACGGATGACAACTTTCTAGATCTTTGCATCCAATTTGTAGTCAGGTTTTCATTATGAAACCTTGGAAAAGAATACAGTATGTTACGACCGTATGGAACAAAAACAAGTAAGAAAAGAACATTGGGTTCCCATTCTGAAAACGAGAAAATTTGAAGGATTGTAATGATGGTCCAAAATTATTCCCAAACCGCAATTGCGCCGGAACAATAGCTTCACTAGTGTCTAGATTTTGATGCCAATCAACCTCCCATTTTAAAGCTTGACTTAATAATATGCACACGACTGACTTCTCTGCGGGGCTACAACTTTTTTTCAGTCCTTTTGTAGCTGGCATGAATAGGGTTCACTACCTCAAAGTGCTAGGAGAGACCTGAAACTCTGAAGCTTTATTTCTATTGCCGCCCTAACAAGTAGAGAACTAGAAGAACAAAACAACCAAATAACTCCCAATCTGATTTCCAACTCCCCCAAAAATAAATCCCAATACATCATGTTTACAGAAAAAAGCAAGTGTTTCTTATCCCAAAGTTCCATGAATGAAGAAGCCAATGCAGCGATCATCATGCGACACATTAGGAAATTTTGGTTCTATTATTTGATGTGAAACATGATTGGATTGAATTTCGAATACATTAGGAAAGCTTAAAGTAGTGCTCCAAAGACTCAGAAAGTTTCCAGGAAATAACAGAGAAAGCTACGGGCAAATAAATGGTAATTAAATTTGTAAATTTATTTTTGGTTTTTTTTTTTCTTTCTGCTTAAAGGTAAAAGAAAAAAAGAAGGGTCTCAGAGCATAGGGTAGGGGCACTACAAGAAGTAAGAGACCTTAGGAAGGACATGGATGTTGGTGAGGCTTATCGTTTACTTATAAAACAAGAAGACTTGAAGTCTTTAGAGAAGACTTCCAAGTCAAAGTCCCATAAAAACGAAGCCACCAAAGAAAAGAAGAATGAAAATACAAGTTTTATTCTAAAAGAAAACTTTGTTTAATTATGAGTTAATAATTTGGTATGGAAAAGAAGGCTATACAACGCGGAGTTGCTTTGAATTAACACACTTTGGAAACTCATACTTGTTTGCTTTTTGTTCGTGGTCAAGTCACTGTCAATGGCCACATCGTTATCTTACGACTTTTTGGTATGAAGATTGTAGGTCACCAATTATAATTGATCAATTAGGTGCACTTTGCCTAAATAATGCACTATTTGGTTAATTAATTAGCACTTTATTTGGCCACAACAAAGAAAAAAAAAAACTCGTTTTTAATGATTAACATCTAAGGCCCGGTCACGTCAAGTCAACCCACCTCAAGTAGCTCCCTTCTCAAACAATTTAAAATTTTACAATGCTTCTCTCATTTCCTGTAAGGAGACATTTCTACTTCCTGTAAAAACAATTTAAATTATAGTTTGACAAATATGTGTAAAAACAATGTATCAAAAACATAAAAAGAAAAATCTCTACGCACATGTCAAACTGTGATTGGCAAGAAAATACAAGCTCCTACTTATTTCAGGGAAGAAGTCAAGTATTTTTCTTTAAAATTGGAGCATGTTTTGGATCCTTCAAACTAAGAAGAAGCTCCTCCTCAGAATAAATGGACTTTTGACTTAAGAAATTCAAAAGAGAAGAAGTTAAGGGAATTTCACAATTGTCAAAATTCTATTTATTTGAAGGATGAGATACTCCTCAATTTTAAGGAGTCAAGTTTGTTCCCTTTTTAATTAGAGTTAAATCGAAATTTTCATATGATTTTGGCCGAATTTCCAAGAGTAATCTCAGTTGATCTTGTTATGCTTGCACTCCCTCGAAATATACTTTTCGATTTTAATATGATTTAAGTTAGGAATAGATCCCATATTTTTATGATATAAATTAACTTAGAGAGTTGGAAGAATCGAATATTCTTGTAGAGCAAAAATAAAAAACTATTAATATTCTTGCAACAATTTTATTAGCGTGGCTTGGCTCCTTAAAATTGTGGAGGAGCACCTCCTTAAAAATTTAAAACCAATGAGATTTTGACAATAGTCAAATTCCAGCAAAATTGACAAAAGAGAAAAAAACAGGACAAGTGTCAAAACTACATTAGTGGTAAGAAGTAGCTCCTCCTCAAAACTAACAAAGTTTTGACACTTGTTGAATTCCTTTAACTATTTTTCTTTTAGAAATTGACAAGTGTTAAAATCTCATTTGTTGTAAGGAGGCCAAATAATACTGAAAAAAATGTTCCCAATGCACGAACAATCCATATTTTACATATCTCTTGATTTATAGGTTTGTATTCTAACATGTCTTTTTTTTTTCCTTCCGGTGAAATATATTGTGACATGTCTAATACAAGTTGCATGAAGGATTTACAACTGTTCTGGTTGGATCATAAGTTGCTTTCTCATTTTGATGTTATGTTTTGTGTTAGAACTTAGATGTTTTTGTTATGGTTGGAAGTGGTTCTACCTTTTCTAAGAGCATCCACAATGGGCTCCCTAAACCACTTCCTTAAAAAAAATTTAGGGAGGATTTGGAAAAATACAACTTCAACCATGCTCCCTATCCACCTCCTAAAATAG